TGTTATCCCCCTACCCTCTCTCCCCTCCCTCTCTTTCTCTCTCTCTCTCCCATTCCACTTCCTTCCCAGCGTGTGACCAGACCCCCAGGCAGTAATACTGGGGTGTCATCTATGGTAATCATGGCATCACCCACCATGAGGGGTCCATCTAAGCATATCACACACACACACACACACACACACACACACACACACACACACACACACACACACACACACATACACACACACACACACACAGAACAATGCAGTGCTGGTTATTAGAAAATTCTCGTGAAGGACTTTAATTATCATTTATTGAAGTTTTACCCACTGATGGGGATGGTTTTTTGGGGAGGGTAAGGAGGAGGGGAGGGGAGGCTGTGAGGGGGATAGGAGGTTAGGGAAGAGAGTCGTGAGGAGAGGGGGAAGAATGTGGAGGAAAGGAGAGACAAGAGAGGGGAGATGAGAGGGGATGGGTGGAGAGGGAAACATCAGGTGTGAGGGGAGGTTTTATAGGGAGGAGAAGGGGGTTGCGTGAAGTGGAAGAGGAGAGGGGAGGGGACGGGAGGTAGAAACAGAGGAAAGGAAGGGGGAGAGGAGAAAGTAAGAAGAGGAGGGAGTAGTGGGAAAGGTAGCATTAGGGGAAGTGGGGAAGGAAGATAAGGGAGGGAAAGGGAGGATGAGATGATAGGGGAAGGCTAGGGGAGAGGAAAGGGAGGGAGATGGTAGGAAGCAATGGAGAGGGGGAGGGGAGGCATATCACACGACATCTACCAATTCTAAAACACTCTACGTCGACTTTCTCTGCCTATGAAGAATCGGATCCTATAACCTATCGTCTATAAAGAGGGTTGGATTCCAAGGACAAGGGGATCCGATCCTCCTTAAGATACGACACTTTTAAATAAGAAAACAAGATGGCGTCGAAGTTGCCTGAGACTATAGACATGCTGTAATTTTTTTCCCCATTGTTATTTAAGGGAGAGAATTAAACAAATGGGTCTTCAAGGGTAAGGGGTAAGTGAGGTGATTTAAAGGGTGTAAGGGTTGTTTTAGGTATGTCTGTTTTAAGTGTTTATTTTTTTAGGTGTTTGTAAGGGAGGATGTGGGTTTATTTATAGTTTTAGGGATGTTTTAAGTGTGTTTTAAGGGTGTATAAGGGTGTTTAAGTCATTTTAGGAGGTATATGTGTTTTAAGAGGGTATATGTTTTTTTAGGTATGGGTGTTTTTGCAAGGATGTTTTAAGGGGTATAAGGGTGTTTTAAGGGGGTATAAGGATGTTTTAAGGGGTATAAGGTGTTTAAGTCATTTTAGGTGTAAGGGTGTGTTTTTAGAGGGTATAAGGTGTTTTAAGGGTATAAGGGATGTTTTAAGGTGTGATAAGGATGTTTTAAGGGGTATAAGAGATTTTAAGGCATAAGGGTGTTTAAGCCATTTTAGGTGTATAAGTGTTTTTAAGAATGATAAAGGGTGTTTTAAGGGGTACAAGGGTGTTTAAGGGTGTATAAGGATGTTTTAAGGGGTTTAAGGTGTTTTATGGGTATAAGGTGTTTTGCTCATTTTAGGTGTATAAGGGTGTTTTAAGGGGTATAAGGATGTTTTAAGGGGGTATATGGTGTTTTAAGGGTATAAGGGTGTTAGGAGGTGTGTGGCCTGAGGTGGTAGTTTTAAGGAGGAGGGTCGCTCACACACCTCTAAGCTGGCTGACACTGGTGAGGGAGTAATTAAATGAGAGAAACTGTATGTAGTGGTGTGTGTGTGTGTGTGTGTGTGTGTGTGTGTGTGTGTGTGTGTGTGTGTGTGGTAGTGTGTGTGTGAGAGATTACCCACCTCTCTCCTCTCTCCTATTGTTGTTTCATTCCCTCTTTCTCTGTCTCTTTCTCCCCTCTTACACTTTCTCTCTTTTTATCCTCTCTCTCTCTCTTCCCTTTATCTTTGTGTGTGTGTGTTCTCGTTTGTTTATATTTCTTTGTGTCTCTTGTTTTCTATTCCTTTATTCCTTCTTTTCTTTCTTTCTCCTTCTCTTCTCTCCATCCTCCTTTCCTTATTCTTTCTTTCCTTTCTTCTCCCTTCCTCCTCCTCTCTTTTTTTTCCCTTTCTCCTCCCTTCCTCTCCCTTCCTCTGTTACTTCTTGTCTCCCTCCTCTGTTACTTTGTCTCCTCTCTCTCTCTCTCTCTCCTTTGGGACATAGGAAGAGGCAATAGTTGGATTATGACTCTTCTTCTCTTTTGTTTGTCTGTCTGTCTTTGTTTTCTTTCTTTCCTCTCCCTCCCTTCCTTAATTCCTCTCTCAATTCCCCTTTCTTTCTTCTCATTCTCTCCCTCTCGCTCTCTCTACTTCTATTCCTCCTTCTCTCTCTCTCTCTCTCTCTCTCTCTCTCTCTCTCTCTCTCTCTCTCTCTCTCTCTCTCCCTCCCTCCCATCCTACCTCCTTCTCTCCCTCCCTTCCTCTCCTTCCTCCCTCATTCTTTGGGACCTGCATAGGAGACCACGGACTTCACCAATCACCCTCCCTCCTTCCCCGCCTCATTCCCTCCCTCCCTCCCTCCTTCCTTCTTCATCCTCCTGGGACCTGTATAAGGCAACAACTGCTCCCTCCTTCTCCCCCTCTGTCTCCTTATTTCTCTTCCTGCTTCCCCTGCTATACTCCCTGTCTCGCCCCCCCTCTCTCTCTCTCCTCCCCTCCCTCCCTCCCTCTCTCCTTCTTCCTCCCTCCCTCTCTCCCTGGGGACCCCCATAGAGGGAGTTAATTTAGTTGTTGGGTTTAACACAATTAGAAAGTTGATGAGGCAAACATTCCTAATGAACTTACTCCTCCACACACACACACACACACACACACACACACACACACACACACACACACACACACCCACACACACACACACACCCACACACATATGCACCTCCTAATCTTCCCGGTTTCCGTCTGCCCTTAACCTCTGTCTGCCGTTCCCTTTAATCTTTGCGTCTGCCATTTGCCTTTGTCTGCCGTTCTTAATACCTCTTTCTGCTGTTGACTTTTGCCTCTGTGTTCGCTGTTTATTTTAATCTCTGTCTGCTGGTTGTCGTCCTCCTTTACCTTGCCTTCTGTCTTCTCTCTGCTGTCTGCTTTTTCTGCCACTCTGCCAACGTAGGATCACGGCAGACACGTCATAAGCTTACCGCATCTGCCAACTCTTTCTCTCAGCTGTTTCACGTTCATTTTTCTTGTGTTTTTCTGCCACTTTGCCAACTCTGACGCCTGCCATGATTCTCTTCCTGAGGCTAATCCTACCTGTCTGCCACCTGCCACCTGCCATCACTGTTCATCCACCATCTGTCGTCCCTGTCTATGTACCTGTAACCATTCCTGTCTATCTTCTGTCTGCCATTAAGTATCTGGTTCACACCTGTCATCCCCTTATATCTGCTGTCTGCCATCCACTTTAATCCCTCCTTCACTGCCACTCCACAACCCAGTTCATTTCCTCTACCTCGCTGACTTCCTCTGTGTGTGTGTGTGTGTGTGTGTGTGTGTGTGTGTGTGTGTGTGTGTGTGTGTGTGTGTGTGTGTGTGTGTGTGTGTTTGTTAGTCTCAGTGCAATATCGGCTTCATGTTCAGTAACAGCCACTACCACCACTACCATTACCACCATTACCGACACCATCACTACTGCCTACTCCCTCCCCCTCTCACCTCTCTATCACCCCTCCTATCAACCCACCCTCTCCACTTACATTTCCACACAACACTCCAACCCACTCCTCCCTTCACCCTCCTCTACCCCCACCCATATCACCTTACTCCCTCCATCCTACTCCAATTACACATTCTCCCTCCCCATCTCCCCGCCACACCAAGAGGCTGAAAATAAGAAGTTATCACTGACGGTATTCATGTGCAGCACCCTGAGGGTCGAATATCTTCCACCAAGGGCTGGTGGCCTCTCTCTCTCTCTCTCTCTCTCTCTCTCTCTCTCTCCTCTCTCTCTCTCTCTCTCTCTCTCTCTGTCTCCCTTTCTCCCTCTCCACCACCATTACCAACACTCAGTAGCAGTGATAGAGGTGAAGGAAGGTGGGGGGTTGAGGTGAGGGAATGGTGGGATTGAGGGGTGGTGGTGGAGAGGGAGGGGTGGTGGTGGGAGGGAGGGGTGGGGAGGGGAGGGTGGTGGTGGGAGGAGGAGGAGTGGTGGTGGAGAGGGGAGGAGGTGGTGGAGAGGAGGTAGGGAGGGAGGGAGGGCGGTGGTGGTGTCTGATACGGCCTCTTGGACTCTAGTGGTTCCCAGAAGCTAAGTAGCCAGGGCAGGGCTAGGGGTAGTGGTTAGGGGTTGTTAGGGTAGTGGACTGTGGCTAGTGTCAGGATTGTGGCCAGGATTCTGGCCAGGGTAGTGGTCTTGGGTAATGGCCATTTTTTTCTTTTTTTGTAGAGAAAGGAAGGTGAAGGAAGATTAGAGGTGGGGGAAGGAAGTTATAGTTCGGAAATTGAAGAAATACCAGTAGGAGGTAAGAGAGGGCGTGGGCTGACCGCCCAGCTAAGCCTATAGTGTGCTAGGCTGTGTCTGGGTTGTTATTGTCTGTCGGTACAGCACTAGACAGCCAACCCTGTCCCATATATGGGTGTTTTAAGGCCTTATTTCATATTCCGCCAACCTCTACTGGCGGATGCTTGGTCTAGGGAGGTTGTCTTTGCCTGGCCGTGTAGATTAGGGGTGGCAATGGACCTTTGATTTGGTAACTTTTTGGGAACCATGTATGTTGTTGTCGTTATCTGGTGGGAGCTTTTGTAAGGAGTTCTTGCTCTGATAGTTCTATCTTTTGCCAGAATCTGCTGGGCTGTGCAACTGCTGGTTGATGGGTTTCATTCTCAGGTCCCTATGTATTCTCGGCTGTGGTTCTGGTGAAAGGGGTATCATTCACCTGTGACGAATCTTAGGTCATTTTGGACCACCTGTACTTACATTGAGTGGTGCTTCGCGGTATGAAGAGGTACTACGGGTGTTATCGGTGTGATAAATGATGTGTAGTGCCCTGGGCAGTGGTCCAGGTGGGCCAGGCAGTGGTTCAGGGCAGTGGCCAGGGCAGTGGTCTAGGAAGGCTAGGCAGTGGCCCAGGTGCAGTGGCCAGTGCAGTGATCTGTGGCAGTGGCCAGGGCAGTGGTCCAGGCAGTGGCCAGGGCAGTGGTCAGTGGGCAGTGGGCAGTGGTCCAGGGCAGTGGCCAGGTGGTCTCAGGCAGTGGCCAGGGCAGTGGTCCAGGCAGCGGCCAGGTGCAGTAGTCCAGGTAGCGGCCAGGGTATGTGGCTCCAGGGCAGGCTGTGGGGTAGTGGCCAGGTAGTGGCCAGGGTAAAAGCTCTGTGGGCCAGGTAGTGATGTGGGTGCCGCAGCTGTCAGTGTTAAGCAACTGCAAGGTAGTGACAGAGGCTATGGCAACGCTGCAGAGTCCTCCCCGCCACCCACTAACATGCCGCCTCTGGTAGTGATTGTGGTAGTTGTGGTAGTAGAAGTTGTGGTAGTTGTGGTAGTGGTGATAGTGGTTGTGGTAGTGGTAGTGGTTGTGGTGGCTGTGGTGGCTGTCAGTAGTGTTTGGTGATAGTTGTGACTTCGAAATAGTTGATAGTACATGAAGAAATAGACAGTAGATGGGGCGTGGTGTATGAGATGAGACCCGACCATTCAATCACATCATAACCACTGACTTTGTTAGCTACCCGTCTACTCTTAATCTACCCTGTTCACTGTGTATCTATCCGTCTACTTTTTCAGCTTATATCCACCCGTCTACTGTTATCTACCCGTCTACTGTTATCCACCCGTCTACTGTTATCCACCCGTCTACTGTTATCTACCCGTCTACTGTTATCCACCCGTCTACTGTTATCTACCCGTCTACTGTTATCCACCCATCTACTGTTATCTACCAGTCTCCTCTTATCTGTCTACTCTTATCTACTTGTCTACTCTTTTATCTACCATCTACATCATCAAACTCGAACACTTTAATGGGCATTTTTCTACACAAACCTCGAAAGGAATGTCGATGAATGGTGAATTGGTGATTGGTTGAGGCTGGTCACGTGACACTCTTGTTGATATTCATTTGTTTTTTTAGGTTTGCATTATTGACAGTTAGTAAGAGGATTCACTTTGGCCCTCGAAACTCGATAATAAAATAAGAGTGAACTGCTGAATCCACTTGATAGAAGATATTTAAAGCTTTTGATAATTTCTATGTTATATTTTGATTTAAGTGATAATAATGTGTATTTTATTCTACAGACACTATAAATATGAAAGTATATTAATATTTCTTTTTATTAATTCCAGTGAGATAAGAAATATATATATATATATATAACTTGGTGAAAGTATCGTGTTTGAGTGAAGTTGTGGTTCATTTACTGCTTTACGAAACAAAACAGTAATCGAAGCTTATGGCCACACCATCGAGTACAATTTGTTTGTGGTGTGTGAGTGTCAACATAATTACGTGTGTGCCTCGATTCGGTGAGATATATGTGAATTAAAAAAGTGAAGCCTCAAGTGAAGCCTCAAGTGAAGCCTCAAGTGAAGCCCAATGAAGCCTCGTAGCGTGAGTCATGACGAGCAAAGGGATGAGTGTGGATCAGAGGTTGGCAGTCATGACCAGCCCTCCCAGGAACTATGGCGTGTGAGTGGTGAGGGACACACACACACACACCTGTTTACGAGGCAGTTTAACACGATGCTGGTGTGGCAGAGTGAGGCTGGCCTGGCCTACAATGACACCGAGACACCTGATGCACGAGACCATGATCGTGAGGCTGATTCGGCCCCACCCACCTATACAAGGCTATGACACTTACATCTGCAGGTGGTAACCCGGGAAGGGCCTCGGTGGTGGGCGTCCGCCCTCCTCCGCCGAGTGCCGCGACATCCGCCGCTGGTGCTGGTGTTGTTGGTGCAAAAGGACAACGATGTGTAGCAGCTCCCTGTTAGGTAAGCTCCCCTGTCCCCTACCATTGCTTCTTTTATTGAGTTTCCCCTGTGTCCTATCCCCGTTTTCTTTATTGTTATTCTTCTTGGGAATCTTTATACTACTTTATGCTGTGTTCTTTTTCTCCTCTCTCTCTTCTCTTTATTTCTTTTCTTTCTTTTCTTCTCTGACCTCCTCCTCCTCCTTTTCTCTTTCCTCTTCCTCCTCCTTTCCTCTTCCCTTCATCCTTATACTTGTGTTATTTTACTCATTTAATTCTCGTCTTATTTATCTTTTGTTTTATTGTTTCCTACTTTATTATCCATTTTTTTATTCTTTATTCTTATTTTTACCATTTTATAATATCTGCCTTAACTTATAAGATAAATATAATGATTTTCTTATTGTATTTTTGAGTGAAGTGAGTGTACTACATAATGGCATGCTATCTTGATAGACGATGACAGTTGAATCCACGTTTATGTGTAAATGTGTTGATTGGTTTTCAGCATCCAGGTACAGTGTCCTCGCACCCATACCTGGTACAGTGGCTGCTCATTTTGTTAGATGTGCAACACTGTGAAGGCCTAATAGCAATCTTTAGTCTGGCTTGCTGTGAGGTTCCCTAAGGCCTTTAACGTAGTTTAATACAATGTAAATAAAACACAGCATTGCCACATCTCCAAAACGTGCCAGACATTGCAATGTATAAGTAAGTGTTTTCAAGTACACTGGTTAACTGGTCACGCCACAGCGGCTAACGACCAATCACTGCATCAATAGTACCTGCGCGAATCAATCAACGTACATGGTGATAGTCAAAGAACCAATTAGCTTCCATCATGATTGCCAAACAGCCAATCAGCTTCCTTCGTAGTAACCATAGAACCAATCAGCTTCCATCATGGTAGCCAAAGGACCACTCAACACACATCATGGTAGTCAAAGATCCACCATGCATGTTTGAACCCGCATACGAGTGGGATTTCACTTTTTACTTGACAAGATAGAGGGAGAGACATGAAATAGCCTTTGTGTATGTGTGTGTATGTATGTATGTATGTATGTATGTATGTATGTATGTATGTATGTATGTATGTATGTAGATGTAAGTGCGTAAAACTGTGTGTGTGTGTGTGTGTACTCTTCATAACAAACCCCAAACATTCACACGGACAGTTTATAATCTCCTGCCAGCGCTGACGTGGACATCAGGCGTTGAGGGCGTGAGAGTCAAGGCCTGTGATGTGAATTATGATGGATTATCAGGAAAAGTCGTGTTGCACCTGGATTATTGTATGTTGTGAATTATCTTGTGTGAGGTGACGGTGCAGTGGGCCGAGGGAGGGTTAATGGAGATAGGGCTGTGTTGTGTTGCGAAGAGATAGGGGTCAGAGGTGGTGTGTGTGTGTGTGTGATGATAAAGTCCCCGGTGGCCTGTAACACCCATTCCTCACTCTACATTTAATCTTTCATGTACACTGACCTCGCTCCTCCTCCTCCTCTCCCTATTCCGTCTTCAGAAAGCCCTCAAAGCGTGCCCGTAGTATATGAGTTTCGAAAGGAGGGGATAATCAATGATTACCCTGCTTTTTATGTTTTTCCCCACATCAGACATGTCTTGTCAAGTATAGACCCGCTAATTTTATGTCATTGTTACGAGCACGGTTTGTGGATCACCAAGATATTGACTCACCATCGACGCTAACCTACCCTAACCCAACCCAACTGAACCGTAGATTGACCACTCTGACGCCAACTCCCAACCAAACTGAAACCGTAGATTGACCACTCTGACGCTAACCCAGCTCCAACCCAACCCAACCGCAGATTGACCACCCTGACGCTAACCTAACCTAACCCAACCCAACCGTATATTGACCACTCTGACGCTAACCTAACTCAACCTCCACAAACAGTCTTACGGTGGTTAATCTTTAGGTGAAATAAGCTGGGATGGTGATACTTCAGGTGATACTAGAAGTCATCCTTGAGATTCACCGACTTAACTCCCTCGAGCAGTTCACTTCACAAACAATAACAAAACCGTAATTCTTTCATGAGCCTTAAAATTCTCCCGATCAGCTGACCGATGTAAACAAACACCTTGAGACATAATGCAGGACCATCTATTTGCCACCTATTCCCACCAGTCTTAGGGTGTCAGCCACCTTAGCCGTTCGTCTCTGTAAACAATGTCTTTCCTGGCCAATGTAAATCTCTTTATGTCAACACTCCCATGTAAACAAATGCCTTTCATAAATATTGTAAGATCTTCATATGTCAACACTCTCCTGATCAGCTGACAAATGTAAACACAAGCATCCAGAATATCAACTCCCTCGATCAGCTGACCGTATCAAAACAATAACAACCTCGTAATCCAACCTCGGCCCTCCAGTCATTAAACTCCTCCAATAGATAATTACCGGAGTTTAAAAATACCAGGGAATTATTCAGGTGCGGGTTTTAATATTACAACTCATCAACAACTAATCGCTAACCAAGAACATTGCCGGAGGTAGCAATCATCTAATTTATTGTGTTTAAACCTGTCAGAGAAGTAAGCAGCTCTATACGACTGCCTCTAACGCTGGTCTATTTAACACTAACCTACATCCTTATATATTATTTATTTACTAATCTAACAACTATATCTACATGTATTTTCATACCAATTTACCCCAGTAAAATAAATACGTCATGGGAATTTGATAACAATGCCGAGATAAATTCAAACATGATTCCTTTCTTTCAATAATGTTAAATAAGGAGGTACAAGACTTACTGAACACCTGGTGATCCTAGACAAAAAATAAAGTACAATTAGAATCTTGCTGTGGAGAGTGGCTGACAGTGTAATAAACTGCCCATTGGTGTACTAACATGGTGGTTTCCTACAGAACAGTGTGACCAGAACTCCTCAGGATGGAGTCAGAGACATACCCAACCAAGCCATCACCTCCCTCCTCCCACGACCACACCGTCCGGACTCACCAAACGCCAGGTACGTCCACTCACCTGCTCACACACCGCGAGTTATCTCCACAAGCCATAATATCTCTCAGCCAACACCATTATCTCTCAGCCAGCACCATTATCTCTCAGCCAGCACCATTATCTCAAGCCAGCACCATTATCTCCTCAGCCAGTACCATTATCTCTCACAGCACCACAATCTCTCAGCCAGCACCATTATCTCTCAACCAGCAACCATTATCTCCTCCAGCCAGCACCATTATCTCAAGCAACACCATTCCTCAAACAACACCATTATTCTCAGCCAGCACCATTATCTCTCAGCCAGCACCATTATCTCTCAGCCAGCACCATTATCTCTCAGCCAGCACCATTATCTCTCAGCCAGCACCATTATCTCTCAGCCAGCACCATTATCTCTCAGCCACACCATTATCTTTCAGCCAGCACCATTATCTCTCAGCCAGCACCATTATCTCTCAACCGCACCATTATCTCTCAACCAGCACCATTATCTCTCAGCCAGCACCATTATCTCTGCCAGCACCATTATCTCTCAACCAGCACCATTATCTCTCAACCAGCACCATTATCTCTCAGCCAGCACCATTATCTCTAACCAGCACCATTATCTCTCAACCAGCACCATTATCCTCTCAACCAGCACCATTATCCTCAGCCAGCACCATTATCTCAACCAGCACCATTATCTCTCAGCCAGCACCATTACGAGTCAATACATCTCATAAGACGTTCATGAACTACGCCTTTAATATCTCTAACTCCTAGATTCTTTGGGAGGTGGGGTAGGTGTGGTGGGTGGTAACAAAGGAGGTAAATGTCAACACTCGACTTGTTTACAGAGTTGTTTGTCTGGTTGTTTGGTTGATTGTTTGTCGCGTTTGTTTATGTGTGTTTTGTTTGTTGGTTGGTTAAGTCGTTTGTTTGAGTCTGTTTGTTTGTTTGAGTCGTTTGTTTGTTTGAGTTGTTTTGTTTGTTTGAGTCGTTTGTTTGACTTTGTTTGTTTGTTTGTTGTTGTCTCACACAGTGTGTTAGGAGGATAGAAGAGGAAGATGAGGAGGAGGAAGAGAAGGAGTGAGAAGATGAGGAGGAGGAGAGGAGGAGGAGGAAGAGTGGAGAAGGAAGAAGAAGAAGAATAGAGGAGGAAGGAGAGAGAAGGAAGAGGAATAATACAATCAAGGAACACTAATCACAGTTTAGACAGACAAATAAACAAACAAGGAGGGAATGCACACACACACACACACACACACACACACACACACACACACACACACACACACACACACACACCACACACACACACACACACACACACACACACACACCACACACACACACACACACACACACACACACACACACACACACACACACACACCACACACACACACACACACACACCACACACACACACACACACACACACACACACACACACACACACACACACACACCACACACACACACACACCTGTCAGTCATGAGGGAAGCCTCTGTCAACATCTTGGTCAGTGTATAAACATTGCGGTGTTGTCAGAGGTGTCAGTTGTTTGTTGTTTTGTCCAGGCTGTAATGAGCTAGTTGAGCAATTAGCACCACCATCTGACGACCTGGTAATTGTGTGTGGTAGAGGGGTGTTGGGTAGGGGGTGAGGGGTTGTGCTCTTCCCCCCACACACACCTGCACACACCTGTAGCAGTCCACAAAAACGGTGTTGAGGACGGAAAGTGTCATCAACACCTGACATGTAAATAACATTAAGAGACCTCGTTAGTGGTGACTATCTTGTCACTTGGCTGTACCTGGCTCTCCCCTCACCTCCCTCCCCACACCTTCCCCCTCACCCTCTCACCTCCCTCCCCACCCCCCTCTCTCCCTATCCTCTCTCTACATCCCCCCTTCACCTGCTTCCCCTCACATTTCTCCTGTACTCTCCCTCACCTCTGTCCTCTCCACACACCATCACCTCACACCCCTACCCTCACTTCCCTCCCCTCATCTTCCCTATCTATCTTCCCCTCCACACCGCCTCTCATATCTCATGTGCCCTTGTCCCTCACACTCCCTCACCCCCTCCCCTCACCCTTCCCTCACCTATCTCATTTACTCTTTGCCTTCCCCTAATCCTTCCTCATCAGCCTTCACTCCTCCCCTCGCTCCTCCCCTCACCGCTTACACCTTCCTCACTCCTCCCTCACCGCTTACCTCCCTCACTCCCTCCTCACCGCTCACCTCCTCCTCCTCCCCACACCGCTTACACCTTCCCTCACTCCTCCCTCACCGCTTACATCTCCCCTCCTCCTCCCTCCCTCACTCTTACCCCTCATTTACCCTTTCATTAATTTCTTCCTTCATAACACCAACTCTTCTGTATCACTGTACCCTCATCACTGTACCCTCATCACTGTACCCTCATCACTGTACCCTCATCACTGTACCCTCATCACTGTACCCTATCACTGTACTCTTATCACTGTACCTCATCACTGTACCCTCATCACTGTACCCTCATCACTGTACCCTCATCCTGTACCCTTATCCACTGTACTCTTATCACTGTACCCTCATCACTGTACCCTCATCCTGTACCCTCATCACTGTATCCTGTACCCTTATCACTGTACCCTCATCACTGTACCCTTATCACTGTACCCTCATCACTGTACCTTATCACTGTACCCTTATCACTGTACCCTTATCACTGTACCCTTATCACTGTACCCCTTATCACTGTACCCTCATCACTGTACCCTTATCACTGTACCCTCATCACTGTACCCTCATCACTGTACCCTCATCACTGTACCCTCATCACTGTACCTAGCCTAGAAAGATCCTCAAATATTCGTAACTCGAGGTCAATTTTTCCTCCCTTAACTTATACAGACTTACGGTAAAGTCTCAGCAAAACTTACACACCATTTACGATCATATAAAATTAACCAGTTAGATAATGTCTTACACGATAACAGTTAAGGGCAAAAAATATATTAACTTACGAGTTTATGGGAATTTAACTTCGTATCGTGGGTTAATGTGAGTGAGTTAGATGCATCATTTAGGAGGGAGATTCTATGTGGGTGTGTGTTGGAGTGAAGATGGGTGGGTGGGAAGGGGTGAGAGGGAGGGAGAGGGAGGGAGAGGGAGGTGGGGATAAAGTGAGGGAGGAATGGAAGGAGAGGCAGGAAAAGAGAGAAAAACGAAAGAGAGAGAGAGAAACATAACGTGGTAAAGCTCTAAGAATTCCTCCTCCTTACACCAGACTGATGTCATCTCACTACCTCAGTTAGGGAGAATTTTTTTTACCTAAGTACATTTGAGAATCTAATTTGTTACCGTAACTGAGGAGAGTTACCACCATCCTGCAGTTAAGGGTGAAGATGTGTTTTAACTTAGGATTGTTTCAGAAAGTAGAGGAATTTAATTTAGGTAGTTAGATATGACCTCATATTCTACCCCTACCTCCTCTACCTCTACCTCCACTACCTCTATCTCTACCTCCTCTACCTCTACCTCCACTACCTCTACCCTTACCTCCTCTACCTGTACCTCCACTACCTCTATCTCTACCTCCTCTACCTCTACCTCCACTACCTCTACCCTTACCTCCTCTACCTGTACCTCCACTACCTCTATCTCTACCTCCACTACCTCTATCTCTACCTCCACCATCATCTCCAACAACCACCCCTACCCTCAACCTCCCTCACCCCCGTTCATCCCCACCCTCACCTCCCACCCTCAATCACCCCTCACCCTCCACCTCCCACCCTCACCCCCCTCACCCCCCCTCCACCCCCACCCTCAAACCCTCAACCCCACCCTCACCTCCCCACCCTCCTCACCCCAAACCCTCACCCCCTCACCCCTCACCCCTCCCCTCTCCCCTCTACCCCCCCCACCCCCACCACCCCCCCCTCCTGGTAGCAGTAGTAGTGAGGGAGGAGGAACCACGTCAAGCTCACTGAGACATTTTGAGTGTTGAGGCAGCGACTTTGTGCAGGAATCCGTCTTTAATCCGATTTTAGTGCGATTTTTTTTTTTTTTGCCCACTCTGTCAAGTCGTCTGCTTTCTTATTGTGTGCGATTGGATTCTATTTGTCCCCGATCGATGTTTTATTTTAGCTCTCTCTCTCTCTCTCTCTCTCTCTCTCTCTCTCTCTCTCTCTCTCTCTCTCTCTCTCTCTCTCCTCTCTTTACGCTAGACGGAGGAACGCACAATAAGATACTGGATCCTGTTTTCGTTCTCTTCACTATTATGATAAATTTCTGTAAATAAAACAAACACCATCTAATTTTAGTGTCTCTCCGATGGTGTGTGTGTGTGTGTGTGTGTGTGTGTGTGTGTGTGTGTGTACTGTATATGTGAGTGTCTGTATGTATGTCAAATCAACAATAAACCACTAAACTGACCCTTATGATCCTATTAACTGTTCATCACCTCACAACAAGACGAGAGACAGCTGTAGTGAAGATGACAAGGGAGTCCACACAACACTGATCTCAATCTTACCACCATTACATTATATTTTCATCACAACAAAAACACTCAACAAAGGCTATATAAATACAAGAGCTTAACCCACTACACTCTTCCTATGTGTAAAGGCAGAAGTGAACACAATGTAATGGAAATATTTCATTATATTTCATTATATTTCACAGTTAGTCGTGTTTTTTTTTTATTTCTCTTGGTATCACTACAGTAGAATTTAATACAGGGTAGAGTTACAGTGTGATGTTGTATTGTATTTAATTATTGTTCAATGTTGTGTTTTTTGTTGTGTGATAGAGAACATTTTGTGTGTAGTTGATGAGTACTGTTTCATTATTGTCATATTTTTTGTTTTGTTTTTTGTTTTCTGTGTAGTGCGGGTTTATGGTGGTAGGGGGCAGCACTAGTGGGAAAGTAAGGGAAGGGAAGGAAAAAAGGGAATGGGGAAGGAAAAAGAAAGGGATGGAAGGAAAAGGGAAAGGAAATGGAAGGAAAGGAAAGGTTGGGAA